CTCAGTCCCCTTTCGCCCCTCGTCCCTAAGGGGCCCCAGCCGTGGACTAGGCGGGGAGGGGGACGTGGGTGCGTGGCGGGGTTGAGCCCCGGAGCGGTGGGCGAGGGTCAGGTAAAGCTGGCGGCGGTGGTCGGGGGTGGGAGAGTGGCGAGGCCAGGGCCTAGTATGGGCTGGGTGTTATCTGGAGCTTCTAGGGCTGGTTCCTTTCCAGGCGTCCGTTCATCTTTCTGCAAAAAGACAGACCTCAGAGCAGACACTCTGTGATCTACTTCGACAGCTCCCTGATCTGGGTCTCTCTTCTGGAGAACAGTATTGGGGCGCTCGTTGCTTGTCAGTCCTTGGGAATGCGCCTCTCTCATCCATCTCAGGACACGACTCTGGAAAACTTGGACCGTGTTAGGCGCCCTCGCCCCGTCCCAGTCCACAGTTGTTCAAGGACGTTTTCATGCACCCGCCCCTACGCTCCATCTCTGCCACGCTGATGCGTGTACACACACACACACACTCTCTCTCTCTCTCTCTCACACTCACATACACACCAATCTGTTGCTCTTCACTCTGACCCACTAACAACTCTACCTTCCCCTCCAGAGATTTTGCGATGGAGATATCTATCGATTCATTTGCACGATTCTTCCCACCCCTTGGCGCCAACTTCTCCAGCCGGGCAGGCCGGTCCTAGTAGGGCTTTAAGAAGAACAGGCCCCGTCTGAGTTACCAACTTCCTTTTGGGGCCTACCAAAGCTTCCTGGAGTCGGTGCTGCGCGGAACACTCCGCACCTGGGTGCCGGCTCTCTAAACCCCGGGGCAAGGGGAGTCTTTGGAGCCAGTGCACTGCCTGCCTTCTTCCCACACCGGACTAGGGTGAGCGCTGTCTCCAGCTGCAGAAGATCCTTGTCCTTTCTCTACTCAAGGACCAGCCCGAGACACTTTTCCCCTGCCTGGGAAATGCGACCTTCCTCTGAGACTCTGGTGGGTAGTGCTGCTGGAAGAGGTAAACGCAACCCTTCTTATAACTGCCACGTTTTCAATGAGACTCCCGGGGCTACCTCTCCCATTTCAGTCTCTGAACTGATTAGATGCGCAAAAGAGGACTAAGCATTCAAAGTGAAAGTGGGTGCGTTCCGCGGGCACATCAAGGCTGGAAAGAGGCGCTGGGCTCCAGCCCACCCCAGAAGGGCTAGTCTTTGAGCACTAGCCGGGCTTGGACCTGCCTCTGCTCTTGGCTTGGGGCTCAGCTCTAAATTCAGGCCAGCAGGCGTGTCCTATTGGTGAGCGGCTCCCTAGAGCCCCTGGGCCTCCTGCAGGGTCTCCGGACTAGGCTAGGCTCTGGCGTTTATCTGCCATGATCCCAGACCAATGTAAACGTTGTCTGCTAAAATCTTCCACTTTAAAACCACACACACACACACACACACACACACACACACACACACAGAGTATCCTTTCCCTCTTGCCTTTTTAACAGCTCCAGGTAAATATTGATCTGCCCCCAGTTTACCTTCCAGACTGACCATTTGCAGACTAAGGAACTGGCCTCTGCAGGGTCCTGATTTTTGTGTTAGTTTCCACCCGCTGGTCTCCCTTCCCCCCTCCAAGTGGCATTGTAAAACTCAGGGGGACAAAGAGACAGGGTAAGGTTTGAGGCCCCAGTTCCTGGGGCCTTGAGGGCTATTTTACATATGGGTCAGACACGGCTAGAGGCCAAGGTCAAGTTGAAAGTTGCAATCTAGCCAGCGTGAGAACTGCCCTGCAAGTCCAGGCGGCTACTAAAGGCCCAGTGCCCACTTCCCCTCATTCTTGAGTCCCCTTTCCTTGGGAATTCTCGCTTCTGGCTCCGTTTGGCTACCCAGCGTTTTCGCTGCCTCCGAGGACATTTTGGGGCGGTGTTACCGAGTCTTCTTCGCTACCTCCGGCTTGCTCTCCACCCGGCTTCAAGCCTCTGTTCTTTTCCAGCCACAACTGGGAAAAAAAACCGAGAATACAGACCAAGAAGCCCCAATGATTCTCCGGCACACTTGCCAGTTCAGTTTTGGCAAGGGCATAGCTGCCCGGTGCGCTTGGCGGCCAAGGCCAGCTCCCCAATCCTCCTCCCTCGGCGACTGGAGTCCTTCAACAGAGGAAGGGTCCCCTCTCCACTGGCTGCCAAAGCTGGCAAGGTCCCTCCTCACCAAAAAAGATTGCATCTTGTCCGCTGAGGAACTGCAAACAGGTTTGTCTGGGACGCATGGCGCTTGGGAAAGGCTTCGGGCTGTGTCTGGATTTGGGTTTACTTCTGAAACTTGGTTCCACAGTCAAGGAAATGTTTAAAGTCTGAATTACTGAGATTTCTGGAAGATCTTTAGTGATAAAATTATCTGAACATTTTCTTAACTTCCCACATCTTTTAGTCTTTTTTTTTCTTTTTCAAAAAAGTCCAAAAAACTTCCAAGACGTATTTACTTAGAAGAAGGCACACTCCTCTCCTCTGGAATCTTGATGTACACGGAGTGATTTTTCTACCAGGTCCATCAATGGTGACCTGGCTGTCTTCACTGTTTTAAAATATCTGTAGGTTCTGTTAGAAACTGAGTTGTGGGGATGATTTATAGAATATTAATGAACTCCTTGAATAAATATTGTCTGAATTTCTAGCATTTCTACCCATTTTTCTCTGTCTTGTCATTCGTGGAAATGAGAGAATCACTAAGGATTTTAACTTTTATTTCTTGACTCTTAGAGGGTCAAGGAGACACCAACCTGCTCATGATGGGGAGGAGGGAGATTAAAAAGACCAGAAGGTAGTGGGGGCCTGAAGCGGCTCTGGCTTGCAGACTCTCCCAGGATGCTTCCTCATCTCCAACAGCAAGGCTATGTTTGGTTTGCCTGTATGCCTCATAGGGCATAGAGCCCTTTCTACACACTTTTCTATCTACCAGACTCAGTAATTCCTCTAGGGTTGTAGTGGGGCACCCATGCACTTGAATCCCAACCATGACAATTTTATCCTCAGACCCAGTTATGGGCCAAACTCAGGCCACCACCTGGTATCTGCCTCCAGCAGCAAACTCAAGAGCAAGAGATCCAGGTGGTAGGCCCAGCGTGGAGGTGGTTGCGGTCCCCCAGCATTTTCCTGGTGCTTTTGAGCCTTGGATGGGCAGCATGGACAGAACTGGAGCTGGGGACTTGGTCCTGAGTCCGAGCGTCTTTGTTCCAGGAGCTGCCGAGCCCAGCGGTTCTCTTGCTCCAGTGTCTTGGCAGGCAAGGCCTTTACCTCCTGGTGCTGGCTAGGGTGCCCAGGGAGGCCTTAGCTGTCTTCAAGTGTCCTGCTGTCGAAAGAGACCCTGGCTGCATTTTTCTGAGTCTGGGGCTTGCTGCCTGCCTGGGCACTAGGGCCTTGGGCTCCCAGGGTTAGAAGGGAAGAATACAAAGGAAGAGCAGATTTTAATCAAGGCTGATGCTCATTAGCAAGTGGAATTTACCTGCTCTCTCCTTAAGGAGGCTGTGGAGGACTGCGCGCGGCTGGCCCCATTTCTCTACACCCATCCAGCATTAGGATAAACATTCCTTGGTTGGTTTTAAAGACACTTTGTATTTCAGGATATTCATGTGTTTCTAATGTATCCGTGCAGCTTTACAAGCTGCATTTGCAGAACGTCTTAACCCTCTCCCTTCCACCAGCCTGGGAGTGCAGAGATAATGGCATAGGGAGAAAGATCCAGAGGGAAAGGGACAGTTGAGGGACTGAGGACAGCCAGGAGGGAGAGAGAAGAGGGAAGCCCCTAAACAAGGGGACATCTGTGAATCTGCTCAGCTAGATCATTTAGGAAAAAAAGACAGTGCTGGGGGAGCTGAAGCTGTACCGTTTTTCTTCAGGGAGAAGGACAGGTCCTGAAGCTTGGGCCAGAACTAACCATGGTGGGACAATGGCAATTTTGAGTCCTAGCTCAATTTGCTTTCTAGATTTTTGCACATTTGAAGTGGTGATTAGACATTATCTAAAGGCCCTGGTATTGAGGACAGTTATGGATGAGAAATTACTTGGCATTGTAGTACCCAACTACGAATTGCAAGAGGTAGTGGGATTCAGGGTTCAGAGACAGTTCCAAGTTCAGCATAACCCACAGACACACACCTTAAGATCTCCTTCTGTAGATTTTGAAGGGTTTGTGGTCAAGCATCGCTCGCTCTGCCTTTCTTTCTGGCACTGTGTTTTCTAGACCACCAGTTCGTGATGCCACAAGCCAACCTGATATCCCCAAGCTCCCCACAAGGAACTACTCCATTTGCACAGTGTGGCTAGAGGTTTTAGGACTCCCCCTACCCCCTTGGCACAAACTTGGAGTGTGGGGCATGTTCTTGGGCCCTGAGAGGCCTGAGCAGTTCCAGAGTGGAGCCTCCTAGTGTTGGTTCCTTCCTTAACAATGTTGTTGCTCTGTTTGTGGTGGGACCTAGATATGCAGACTTGCTTAAAATACTGGAGCGTCTGTTAGAAGCAGAGGGAACTCAGAGCTTGGCTAGTGGAAGAGAAGCACCACCCTTTTGCTGTGTAACCTGGTCTGAGGGTGCACCAACCTTCAGGTCTCCAGAGTCGTCCCTCCCCAGTACACACACCCAGAGAGAGAGATCACCCCTCACTTCTCCAGTATGCCACACACACTGGTGACTCTGAGAGTGCTAAGCAGCTTCAACAAAAATAGGTTGAGCAGTCTCCTGTTCCCAATGTCACTGCCACTGTCCCCACAGAGTCCTACCCTCTGATCCTCCACACCCATTCTAGCTGGATACTCATGCCCTCAACAAAACAGGAAACCAGTGTTGGGATTGAGGAATCTTTATGTCAACAAAATCCTGAGGACATTCAGGGATTGAAGGAAACGGGATTTGCACGTAAACCCGGTCCCACTGGCCCCAGCCTTTCCTTCTCACAGGGAAACTGGACAAGAGGTCAGGTGGCCAGAGTGACCGCCTCCATGTGAGTGCATCTCTCCTTCTCTCCCAAAACACAGTCCTGACCTGGCAGTGAATTCTAAATCTGCAAGTCCAAAGCAACTGAAGGATGGAAACTCCCCAACACGACTGCAACTGCAGGGAAGGGGAGCCGGGGAAGCCCTTCAAGTACACACTGAGGTGTGATCAGGACTTTTATGGGCACGTTATATACTGTAATATAACAAAGTACATGCCTTGATAGACACATGCACATTCAGACATCAAACACAACACATGCACATATACAGAACGTGGACATCACACCAAGGCCCTGAATGGGGGGATCACCCTCACCGGACCAGCCTGGTGACATATTTTGACTGCCATCTCTCTGCCCTTTCTAATTTTTTTTCCTGACTGCTTTCCTTCCCCCACAGCTTTGTAAATACACCTGTGCTCAGCGGAAGGTCAATCCCTGCTGGCATTTACCTGCTTCAAATGTCTGGTCCCCAGCCTCTGTCTGGGGACCTGGGGGCCAGCGCTGAGTAGCGATGACTCTGTATGGAGCGACCCCTACTCCTTTGTCCGCTGTCTCCGGGCCCCACGCGGTCCAAGGCTCAGAACGAAGTGGCTCCATAAAAACTTTTGATACTAGTTTTTATGAGTATTTGCACTCTGGTGAGGAGTGCTGAGTATGGACGCTCCAGTAATCAGTCTTCAAGCTTGGTTTTGGATGTTCAGTTTGTAGGGTGGTAAAGGCAGTTTGTGGAAAAGAAAGCATCTGAGGTGGCCGCAGGCTGGGGGGTGGGGTGGGGGGGGTGGGTTGGAATTGAAAGGGGACAAAGTGGTTTTCTATTCCTGGAAATTGAAGATTAAATGGGTAA